CTTGCAAATTTGTTCTGTCCAGAGGCAGATTTAGAAGTTATACAATCCAATTTCCCCCAACTGCACACATAACTTCCTAAAATAGTTGAGCTAGGAAGTTAGGGAACTCATCTTCGGCCCCATGGACAGCTGGTCAGGGAAACAAAAAACAACGAGACTCCCTGAAAGGTGAGGCCTGCACCTTCCACTACCCCCACCAGGCCTGCATTGGGCTACACCACGTCTGGCCTTTTCTGCTTCTGCAAGCAGGAGAGGCTGAGTGAGCTCAGGGTGGAGAGGAGGACTTACCAACCTGGCCTCACCTCAGCCTGGATCTGGCCCAGGACCAGCTACCTCCCACGGCTCACATAGCTTCCGCGGAAAGTAAAAGGCTCCGGAACCTGTCCCAGATGGTTAATGCTTTTGGGGGGAGGAATTCTGAATATGTAAGAGAAAATGATGTCCAAGTCCCCAGAATGTCAAAATAAGAATGTCTTCAGGGAGAGTCTAATGAGCTTTTGGATGGTGGCTTGAACTGGCCCTGGGACCTGGGTATGGCCCAGGGCTGCATAGTGAACTATCTTGGGCCACATCAGAGGGACCCTTTTAGAGGACATTGTATTTCTGTAAGCAACCCTTATATGCTAACATCTTCGGTTAGCATCTCGAATACACACTGACTCTTTTGTGACAGGATTCACCTGAATTACTTCAAAAATTGTTCATTCATTCGGTGAACCCCAAACATGAGCTCGGCATGTTTAGCCACGGGCTAAGCTAGGTGCTGGGGCTCATGGGTGAGTGGACTGGGCATGGTTGTATCTCTCAAGGAGATGCCTTTACAATAAAGGCTTGAAAACATAGTTTTGCCTTTTTCAGAAACAAAAAAGCTATGCATTACTTGTAGGACAGGATTTGTAAAAGCACAGGGCATCCATTCAAAACTAAGCAGAAGCAAAGAAGCAAGAAAAGGAAAGTGGCCTGCATGGGGCTGACGCTGGCCTTTTGAGCTGAGTCAGGCTGTGAGGGCACTAAAGGGACCAGATGCCCAGACTAGTGGCTGAAGCTGTCCCCTGCCTGCCCCGGCCGGGAAGGAGCCGATGTGTGGGGACAGAGCGCCATCTAGTGGTGGAACAGCCTCAGCGCATGCCACAGAGGCGGGAATAAAGGCGCCCACCACTGGTTTGTTATCTTAAGGTCCTCACCTTCAGAGGTGAGTGCCGTTCTCGCTATTTTGTCAATGATGCTGTGGAGATTCAGAAAGGTGAACCAGGAAAGGGGCTTGAGCTCAGTTCCTCTGTCTTGCCCCCAGGTCACTGTCTGTACCCTACTGACTTCCTGGCTTTGCTGGTGGGAAAGAAGGGCCCAGAGGTCTCAGGCCCGGGCTTGAAGTTCCTGGGTGATGCCTCAGCCCTGCAGGAGAGGACCCGGATGCTGTGACGTAACCGAGCTTAGAGGGCCCTGGTCACCACCTGCCTGGGCCACCTGGGACATGCCGCTCCCTCAAGCAGAGCTAAGCTCTGGGTCCACTGACCCGCTGGCTGCTATCCAAATGTATGATTCCATCCCTCACCCAGGTCTTTCACACACACGCACACGCACACACACACCCGTGCAGTACCCTCCATGGGGAACTTTGTTGTTCTCCCCTCAGTTTCTAGTTTCTAACCTCTTTACTAAGCATCATCTCCCAAGAAGACTTGCCCCACCCATCACAGAGCCAGGCCACCTGCCAGTCATCTGCCACCCTGCAAGATTGTCACTCTGGTACCCAGGGCCCAGTACAGGGCCTGGCCCACTGTAGAAGGTGGTCAAGTGCCTTCCCACAGAGGGCTGAGTGCCTGGCTGCAGGACCAGAGCCAGGGGCGGCCCTCTGAACCATGGCCATGCCACACCTCCTCACTCTAAGGTCAGCTCTAGATCGTGACTGAGCTGCCCAGCAGAGTTCCTGGAGTAAGCTCTGGCCAGCCTGCCATCTCGTAGAAGACTCTCCCAGAAGTTGCCTGGTCTGTGGCCTGGGAAACCACCAGCTAGCAACCTGGACTCTGTCTGCCTGACGGGAGGGGAGTGTTCATAGCCAGACGACCACTTTCTCAGAGGTCCCCGGAGCTGAGTCCCTGACACCGGTGACCAGGGCAGTCCTCCTGAGGCCGCACTCCAAAGACATGGGGTGAAGTGTTCAGAGAGGTGATGTGGAGGAAGAAGAGGAAAGTGGAAATGAGACTATGAAATGCTGGGTGTGTATGAAGAACTGTCAGTAGGAGGGACAATGTTCTTAGACACAAAAATAAAAATAAATTATAATAGTTGTAAAAAAGTACTTGTACTGCTTCAGGAAAAAAAAGAGACAGTTTATTAATTGAGTGCCCCCAGTATGCTGGCATTATTTATCATCATAATGACCCGGTGAGGTAGACATTTGGGGGTCCATTTTACAAAAGAGTAAACTGAGGCCCAACGTCATCCAGCTAGAATGTTCCTTCCTAATGTCTCCTCACTTTCATTGCTGTTGGATTTTGTATACCTGGGTACAAAAAAAAAGGGCACTGGAAAAGAGCTGGTACTCAGGATCTGGGGCTAGTGACCCCAGACGGCCGTCTTTCCAAAGCTCCCAGATTGCTGGACGCAGAGCCTGCTCCAAAACTCAGCCCAGCGCAGCTGGCCCACTTTGACCTACCCATGACCCATGAAACTCATTTCCTCCTTTTCCCCATTATAAATATAAATGCAGATATTTCACTGGGGAAACATCAGATTGAGAATCCCAGAGGCTAAAACCATTTCTCTAACCCAGCATGACAGTGGCAGGGAAACAGTGCTATTTACAGTCAACTGCTGACTGCTCTGCCTCAGGCTCCAACTGGAATCTAGAAGGTTCTCTTTGGTGGCTGAGTTTTTGTACAAAACATGAGAGAAGGAAGAGAGAAAAAACAGGGGTAAAGAAAGGGCAGGTATTTTAGTCCTGGTCTTGGAACTGTCCTCTTCTTTTCACAAGTTAGGGTCTTTTTCCCTTTTTTTTCCCTGAGATTTTAAGAGCTTGCACCAGTGCTCAGCCTGGTATGCTCTGCCTGCTTATGGTGGACGGGTGGACACCCCAACTTTCCAGACCCCCTGACCTCACCTGTCTTGGCACCTGAGGACCGATTCCTTGCTAATCCTTCGCTGGGTTTGCACACTTCCTGCTTGTCTCAGTCAGGATCAGACTTCTGGCTTTTGACTTCTGGGAAATGCAGATGCCCACCTCTCAGACCTTTGGTCTGACCTCACTCTGACTCTTGTGCGGCCCATCCTGTCCCAGACATTTACTTGCCTCACATGCCCCAGAGTGACAGAGGATGACAAGGGATATTTGGGTGGGAAAAGGGTTCTGCCCCTGGTCTCCGGCACTCAGCTTTGGGGGGCACTGGAAGGAATGGGGGAGGAGGTCAGCATGGCGTGGGTCATCTGAGTTACCATAGTGATAGACCCAGGCGAGAGAGGGGAACACATGAGTGACGTAGGAAGGCAGTTCAGACCATTGAGAAGCTAGAAGGGAGGTTCTGTCAGACTTAATTAACTTCATTATAAACACCTTCAGCACCAAGCACAACTATTACACTGTAACCCAGGGGTCATGAGCGGGATGGAGATAACACCTTCTTTCCTCCAAAAATCTCCCAGATTGCCTTCATGGGACCAAAGCAAGAGCTATTTAATTAAAACAAATATTTACAATGGCAGAATCTAAGGACAGAGATACTGACAAATAAATAAACATAAAAATCCTGGCTATGATACATGATCATCATTTATACAATCAGTAATATCTCATGTACCTGGAACTTCATGGAAAACCATTTTACATTTCATCATTTGGAATCAACAAAGTTTACGCTAAGTGAAATACTCTTCGATTTCCGTAAGCCATGCTTAGAAAGTGTTTGCTCCTTCTTCAGTGCCCACTTATCGGACTGTCAAGTTTCCTTTTGTTCTGCCAACAGACACCCTTTTATCCCATCATTCAGCTTCCTCCTTGAGTCTTTTACGGGCTTGGAAACCAGACAGTCATGTCTATTAGAACAGTTTGGAAATCAAGAATAAATAGAATTTTAACAAATGGCTCTGAGTCTCTAAGCTGTGAGTAAAATATATGGACTTTGGAAGATGGACTTTATTCTGGTTTTCCTCCAGGCTCTGGGGTTGGGAGGGATGCTGTGAAGATGCGGCAGCATGGTAGTCCAAAAAATCAGAGACACCAACCATCCACTGCTCAGCTTTATACTATAGCACGGACAGGTTGCTCTTCTTAAAGTAGGCACACGGAGGTTTTGGGGACTGATCTGAAGTGGATCTGATAGTCCACAGGTCAAGTAAACAGACAGGCATCTCTTATATGCAGGAAGCCCTTGGAGAACTCAGGTGTTTCAAATCCAATGGTTCCCGCCCCAATATCAACCACCTGGAGATCCTGTAGCAGAAGACCGTCCAGTGCCCTCAAATGTCAGAGCCAGCCCAACCCACCTGGACTCTGCCAGTCCTCTCATTTTCTGTGTTCTTGAAAGCTCACTAGAGCCTCACCCCACTTCCACACAGCTGAAATTTAGCCTAGGCCTCCATTGATTTCTAGCAGCTGGTGCAGTTTTTAACGGGGTATTAGTCTCTCTTCAGATCTTGAAACCTAGACTACTGCCCCAAATGGGATAACATTCGACTAAGGTCACTGAAGCTGGACGGTCATGAAGGCAGGATTGTTAAAGGTCGAGACACCAACTCTGGAATCAGTTTGCTTAGGTCACATCAGGTAATCTCTGCTTGTGAAAAGGTTGTGGCCTGAGAATGGCCGTTGGTCTTTACAAGTCCAAGGCAATCTCTGCTAACTCCTTTCCCTTTTTGCACACTGCCTATCCAAAGGAGAGGTCTGTAGAGAAGAAATCTTCCCTTCTGAGAAGATGATGACTGGAGACATGGTTCTGAAGAACAGTAAATGGGTTGTGTGTGGACTGGTGTCCGCCGAAGGCCCCCTCTGAGCCGTATGCAGAGTCCTCGGTGAAGACAGACAGGGCCCCAGCCTTCTCAGGAGTACAGAGTCATCATCAGCCACTGGACATAATGGGGAAGCAAATTATGGTCAGTTCAGGCAGATCTCTGACATTCGGCTAAGGGTGCTTCATTTTTCGGTTACCAGACCCTGGAGCCTGACACGGGATTGGGACTTCCTCCCCCCTTGTTCCTGAGAAGCCATGGAGACAGGACAGTAATGGATGGTTTAGCCAGAGGGACCACACCATCTGGTAGTAAGTATAAATCAACCTGAAATATAATCAACCTTGACTTCTCAGGGTGTGAGTGAATGATGATACCCAAGATGCAGGCTGATTCTGTATTCAATTCTCAATGCAGTTTTCTGCCATGAATTCAATTTGGCATGCTTGGGACAGCAGTGTGCAGGTGTGTGGACCAACTGGGTAGCAGAAATCCATTAGAGCTAGTCTACATGTTTCCATTTATGGGCCCATTTGTCTGACAGCTTTATGTGGGTGTGATGCACAGTCCCTCTGTCTCACATAGAGAGGACCTCTGGAGAAACCACTTCCCAGGCCAGTTACATCAGAACGATGCTGCTAATGATGTTGGTGAAGATGACAAGGTTGGAGTTACCAATGGCATCAGAGAAAACCAGTGTGAAATTCCAACCAGTTGGCTGCCACTCCCTGTAGACATCCCTGGATAGCCCTAAGGATCTCCTTCTCGAGCAACCAAAGGTGCTCAGAGCTGAAGAGGATCTTAGAGACAACCTAACCCAGGTCACTCATTTCACATGTGGGGAAACTGAGGCCCAGGCATACTGAAGTTGATTCGACAAGGATCCCACAGCTAGTTACACGCAATGCTGTGGGTTCACCTCGGGTCTCTGTCCAGTTCTCTTCCCATGATGGCACATTGCACTGCTGGATCCAGCTAGGGCTGTGGGCTGCCCATTTCAATGGCACATTCATGTTTTCCTGCTCTCCCAGCTCTCAGCCTGCGCTGAGGGACTCAGCGGGACTGCCTGAGATCAGGACATGAGCTTGGGGATTTGAGATGGAGATGGGCTCAGAAAATTCTAACCACTGACCCTCCAGCTGAATCCTAGCTTCACAGTCAGATAGGACTGTGACTGAGGCAAGACACATGCTGAGTATCCCGATATCTTGGAAAGATACTACATAGAATGGACATTTGAGGTCAAGGAAGAAACCTCTGCTTTTACTAGACCCTTTTTAAGCAGCCTAAATGGAGGATGTGTTTTTACAAAGGAAAAACATAATTTAATTCCAGATTCCAATGTCTTTGCAGGGAACACTACCTAGACCCACGTCGGACATAGAGTAGGTGCTCAGTAAATCCGTGCAGTTTGATTCATCAGGGAAGACCATCAGTGTCAGGCACAGATTTGTTTTGTTGGCATATCATCTCATTCACTCAACAAACATTTGTCAAGCCTCCTATTACACGCAAACCACTGTATGAGGTTTGAGAAGAGGCTACCCAGACAAGATCAGAATCCCTGCCCCTAGGGGGAAGGCTAGGCCAGCTCTTGAGAAAGATCTGACCTTGATCTTTTTTCAGATTCATCTTGATCCAGTTTTGTCATTCTCTCCACTCTCGCCAGGACCACACACACTGTTCCCTCTAGCCTGAGTCTTTCCTACTCTCCACTCAGCCTCCCTGGCTCCTTCTGATCTCCAAGGTTTTAACTTTGATGTTACCTCCTTCAGAAAGCCCTCTGTGAAATGCCCTGTTCAGACCAGTTGCCCTATTTCTGTCTGTGCTGGAGTTCATAGCTGGCCTGGGTCCTCGCTCACTCTGTGTCCATGCCCTCTGCAAGAGGCTCAGAGGTGCTTCTCATGACAGAGAAGGCTATTCCCCATGTGTTGGAAGTGGACTTGGCCACGTGACTTGCTTTGGACAACAGAAGGTATTGCACAACACGATGTGCCTGCCCTTCGAGACCTTGCGTGTGTAAGCTCGCTCCCCTGTACTTCTGCTATTGTCCGGAGACAATGAGACCAGCCCGGCCAAAGCTTCCTCAATGAGGGTACCGGCAAAGTCCCCAGTTCACCCACCCATAATGAGCCAGCCAACCGAGACCCATTGACTCCCAGACGTGTAACTGGGGAACTCAGTGAGTGTTGCTGTCACAGCTGAAGTTGGGTGGATTTGTCCCATGGCATTACTGCGGTCACAGTCATTGGGTCCACTGAGCCAGGGTGTAGGTCCCTGCCTATGCACCCAGCACAGACTGAGTGCTCAGTAAGGAGTGGACCAACGAATGGAGAAGTACCGTGAGTGAGGGGCTACCTCCCCAACTCAGCAGAACGAAGGCCCCAGAACCCCACTCCTTCATGAGAGCCTGGACCCGCTGTGGCCCCCTCTGCCTAAGACGGTGTGAGTCCACCCCATGGACAAAGGCTTACCTCTGGCTTCTGGAGGTATATCCCTTTGCCATCTTGGGTTAAGTTCTGGAAGGCACCTGTGAAAATGCAGCAGCAAGGAACACAGCTAACGTGTGATGGAAACATTAGCCACTAGCTCTTCCTACCTGTCCCCTCTGCTGGGAGCCTGGTTTCAGCCCCATGTGGCCACACTTTACTAGGGCAAGTGAGCTGCCTCAGACCTTTGGCCCAGGGACAGGTGGGATGTACATGAGTCTGAGGCCATGCAGGTGGGGTTCTTGGGCACAGAGCCAGTGTGTCCCTATAGCTTCTGGCCCGTTGTTTCTGCCCCAGCAGCTGTCCTCCCTCCTGCTTGAACCGGGGACAGGGGGCAATCCACCAAGGAGTGCCCGCCCTGCCTCCTTCCCACCAGCTCACCCTCCATGCTCTCCGCACGCAGCATCAGGTGGACGAAGCTGACAAAGTCCATCTGGAGGCGGGGGCCACCGTAGCGGACAAGCATCAGCTGGCAGACGTCGTCACTGAGCACGATCCCTGCGTCAGACACAGATTCCCCCCATGGGTGCTGGGGACCTCATGCCCCCGCCCCTCCACCTGAAGCCCCTGCAGCTGTCCCTCCCCTTCTGGGACCCGAATCCTGATAACGTGGGGGGTCTTCTTTCATGGGGTTCAGTATGGACTGCTCAATTAGTTAGTCCCTTAACATTATCTCCATCTCGACTCCCCATTCCCACACCCTTAGGCCACCAGCACGAGGATCTTTTTATAGAGTGGGATGCTGGCCTTCAAGGCAGGAGGCAGTCTGTCCAAGACTGGTCCAGAACATCCCCTTTGGGGCCCGATAGTCCTGGATTCAAGCTCCAGACAAATTTACGAACTTTTCTGACCGGTAACTGCTTCTTTGTTAAGTGGGGATTAGCCCTCGGCGTGGGTGATTAAACCAGAGTGTGGATGCCCCAACCTTCAGCACTGTCAGCTGTGACCAGTGATAACACACGTTTCCGTGATTTGCAGATCTACAGCCTCAGGCCTCTGGACCCGGGGAGCAGCTCTGTGCCTTGGGATTACTTGAGAAGTGATGCCCCCACCCCGACCCAGAGCAGTGCACCCCACAGGACCTGCTCAGCCTGGGCTTACCTGCGTCCCTCATGGCCGCCCTCAGCTGAGTCCTGTTCAGGTGTCCCAACCGGTGACTGTCGTGCTTGTGGAAAACCTCCTGCGCAGAACCCACACCAAAGGCTCGGGAATCACACGTTTGCAAGCATCACCTGCAAGCCCCCCACCCCTCCATGCTGCAGTGGCCAGCATGGGACCCCGCAGCAGGCCTACAGGAGTAGGCAGAGGGTCTGGGCTTCTGAGAAAAGGAGTGGGGTTTTTTGTCACGCGGATCGACAGTCTGAGCATAGCTAAATGTGCTTGACTTAGGCACATTCTCCAAACCTTGAAGGCCTGCTGGCTTTCGGACCCAGGAGACAAGAGGGATGGTGGTGAGTAAAAACTGGGCAAGGAGGAAGAAGCCAGCTGATGCAGGACTTTAATTTTCCTGCTAAGGAGCTCAGACCTTATCCAAAGACCACAGGGAGTCTTCAAAAAGCTTTCATCAAGGAAGCAACATGATCAGACGTGCCCTTTAGAAATCCAGGAGACTATTGCAATAGGCTGAGTTTAGGAGAGAGGGGAGGCGGGCGCACTGAAGGGAGGGGAGAGCCGCGGGGTGAACAGTGGGGTACACAGGGCTGAAAGGGGAGTGGTGCTTACACAGCTTCGCAGAACTGCCATCTCTGCCCGCACCCCCGCCCCTGTAAGGAGGTCTGGGGAAGACTTGTTCTTACCTGACAGAGCATCAGCTGCTTCCACAGGTCTCTGAACTCCTGGATGCTCACAGTGCCGGATGCATTAAGCTGATAGAGGGTTAAGGTCAAAGCTGCCTGGGGAGTTGCTGTCACACCTCTGGGAGCAGCAGCGGGCCCTCCACACAACAGGGTGCCATTTGTGGACAGCCCTGCTCCTTGTCTCATAGCCCTGCCTGGCTTCTGCTGGCTGGTCCGTCCAGCCCAGAGTGGCCCCACCCTTGCTAGGAAGGGACAGAAGGAGCCAGAAACACACCCGCACAGGGAGAAGTCTGAGGACAGGAGGCATGACGGTGATGACCACAGCTAGCACTTAGGGAGACAGGATATTCCAACACAGACTATTTGATGGGATTTAAATTAAAAAAAAAAAACAAAAACGGTCACTGTTTTCCCCATTATTGTTAAAACCAGCTTCTGGAGGGAGTCCATCACAGGGCAGCTCTTACATTTAGTCATTTTATAAAACGTTAAAAACTTAATGACTGGGCCTTGTAGATCATGTCCAAATAGCTCTGCATCAGAGAGACCGGGTCAAAATACCACCACACGCAGGTCTTCTTGGATCCCGAGTTACAGGCTTGACCTACGTTACTTCATTCTCACTTCATTGGGGGGTAGGTATTCACTACCCCCCAAACGGATGATAAAATGGGGGCTCAGAGAGTACGATCCTGTTGAGGTTCATGCAGCCGGCGATAAGGCTGGGCCCTCCCCCGACGCTAGCACACCTGCCTGCTGCCACACGCCCTCCTCTGCAACATTTCTGCAAAGACTCCCTTTGTTACTTGCAACCTTCACTTCCGCCCACCCCCCCCATACATACTATCCATTCCACGTGCCTCTCTGTACCATGGATAATGAAACTGCGATTCAATTGTCCACTTAGAAAAGCAGAGGGTTTGCTAGAAACATCACAGTGCTGAGAGCCAGGGAAAGAGAGTGGGTGGCGTACCACAGGGCTTACTCTGGTTTCCTGCTCTGCAAAGAGGAACAGCCACGGCCTGGTCACCAGCTGGAAAACTCGGGAGCCTGAGGCTCCTGTGGCAGCTTCTTGTTACCCAGAGGATTGCTCCTAACCAGCACCTGCGGCCGCCTCATCCCCACTATCGGCAAATAAGATTCTTGCTATTCACAGGTAATTCTCAGGACTCCTTGGATGACAGCACCAAGCACCAGGCCTGGGTTACCCCACTTTCTCCCGCTGATTCTACAGAGCAGCTTTTAACAGCATCCCTTGCTGCACTCGAGGACCTGAACCCACAACGAGGCTACGTGAACTGTCGGAGATCACATGGCTAGGAAGCGCTTGGGTTGGGATTCAAACCCAGGCAGCTTGGCCCAGTGCGAAATTCTCCGCCAGCAGCGGCCGGCCTCCTGCCACGAACCTGAAAAGATACGTCCAGCAGGGCCAGGATCCCCTGGCAGGCGTCCAGGCTGAAGAGAGGCCGGGCGCTCCCCAGACCTGCAGAGGGACAGAAAGAGTGTGCATGGAGGTGGCCCTAGGGTGGCACAGCCCTTTTCTGAACAGGAAGAGGCTGAGCTATCTAGGCCACCTGTAGGTTCTAATGACTGTCATTTATAGGCGGTAGCAGGGAGTAAGAACAAGAGGGCAGCGGAGAGAAAGGGCTCTGCTCTGGTTCACCCAAGGAGCACCATAAAGCCCCGCAGAGACGACCCGGTCCCAGCGCAGTTTTGCCTCCATGTAGGCTGGTGACCGTGGCCCCAGGTACCTAGGACTTAGGTACCTCACAGAGTCACGGATCCCCAAATCTGCAAGAGAGCTGAGAGATCAATTTGTTCAAGCCCCACCTAAACTGGGGGATCCTTTCTCCAGATATTTGGTGGACGGTCTCTCAGTCACGGGCGTTCACTTTTTCATACGGATGGAGAGCTCCAGTCAGGAGGAATTTAGGTTACTTCCAAAGGAAGCTCCTCCAAAATTTAGTCCCTAGTCCAAGTTCTGCCTCCAGAAAGGCATAAACAGGCCTATGTCTCTTCAACATCTCCCCTCCACTCTAAACGTGGCTTCTAAGCTCTCTTTGCCTTCCTCTAGACCCTATGCTTTACCATCTTCTCTCTACATGTGGTACCAAGACCAGAATGCACGCCTTCGGTTGTGGTTTCATGAAGCAGACAGAGTACAACGGGGCTATGACTTCCCAAATCTTCAAGCTGTATTCCCCAAATTACATTCCAATGATGATGTTCTGCAGAGAAAGGGTTTTGAGTTCAACTGTATTTGAAATATTTTGCATTTATGGACCCTTTTTTCCATTCACCGTGCATCGTAGCCTATAATAGGTACTGAGAAGCCAACATTAAAATTTTGTTTTTGTTTAATGCAGAATTTCCTGAGCACAATTGACCACAGAGTCTAACCCCTTCTATTTCATGGAACACTTCCTAAAACTTCATAGTGTCTAATACTCCTTGGAACGCAACTTCAAAAATACAAATCTAAAGGTTTCCATTAAATATAGCCTGAATTTAGATTAGCTTACTTAGCAGCAACTTGAAACTCTGAGCTCGTGTTAAGTTCCAGGTCAACTAAATTAACCAGATATCTTTCACATAAGCTGCCATGAAAATGAGATCTCGTCTGCCAGGAACTCATGCGATCAATTTTTTAAAAAAATAATGAAATGTCAGTTTTTAATTATCATCCTGACTCTGTTTCATCTTTTGGGCTTGGGCACAGCTTGTTAAGAGCATTCTGAATTTCAATTCTGCTATCTATTATAGCAGAATTCCTTCCAGCTTTGCGCCATCTGCAATCTGATAAGCCCACCTCCTGCATCCTCTTCTGAGTCATGGATAAAAGCTGAGGAAGTGAAGGGGACCAAGGGTAGAAACCTGGGACTCTCATCTATACTTGCCGACTCTCATCTATGACACAGAATTACCCCCTCTGGTTTTGTATTTATGTAACTCTTGGGAATGGTCATCAGACTTGTGACTACATCTCTATTGCTACTTTCCAACCCACATGTCATCATTCTCCATCAGATACTTTACCAAGGATTTCGCCCAAAACCACAGTAGTTCTCTGAGCTGTCAATCCAAAAATTCTCTCATAGGACTAAATGAAAGTGATCCATCCACACATTCTTTGGGAAACCATTTTGCATACTTGTGTTCAAAACATTTAAAAAATTGTAAGTGTGCTCAAGCCATCTCTTCTAGATAATTTCCCTAGAATTTACTTTCTGGGGTGTGTGTGGGGGGGTATTCTTATATAATTTCTAGAATCTCTCCTTCTGGCTCTTTTATGATACTTGAATTTGGCAATGAGGAACCATCTGGAAATTATTTCAAGCTCTGAGTTATACAACACCCTGGACTATAATTTGTTTGGGTCTGAAGTCTTGGCTTCATATAAAGTAGAAGCGATCACATATGTTAGGTGGCAAATACTCTTTAATTGTTTGGTTTACTTTTTTCATTTTGAACTTCATTCTCCTCTCTGGAGAAATCATGTGCTTCCCACTTGAAATATATATACAAAAAGGTTTCCACGGGCTTTAAGCTTGCTTAATAATTCACCTCAAGTTTCATATGAAGGCATCCACACTGGCCATTTGGAGCCCTCTGAGGGGATGTGCACCCCTCCTTCAAATTTAGTAGGTTGCTCAACTTAAATATGAGTTTATTAGAAGGCTCCCGGTGGGGGGGCTGGTCAGTACTTATATTGTATATAAATACAATATTTATAGGCCAGGCTGGGTACAGTCCTTCCACATGGAATCTATATGCCAAGAAAGAAGTACTCAGATATTCTCAAACTAGCAAAACATCAGAAATCTTTATTTTCACAGCCATACATCTCTACACACTCAAACTAAGCAAAGCAAAAACAAAACCAAACCCCCCAAACAAGAAAGGAAATAACTATTTTCCAAGCTGTATAAATTTCTCTACCGCTACATGACCCACTCTGGGGTAAGACACAGCTGCCTAGGGGACCCTCGTGCAGCAACTCACATGTCCCACAGGGGAAAGAGAGCAGACCCTGAGTTCAGAACAGCCATGCCCCCTGAGTCCTACAGGATGACTCTGAAATACTCACTTGGCCAGGTCATGTGGTTCAGGATCTTCTGCAGCTGCACTGCATTTATTTCTGGATACTGAAGTGGGAGCAGAGTGGCAGGAGAAAATTATCATTACCGGAGGCTCATTAGATGCAGAGGGGCTGCGGGAGAAGGGGGCTGGGAAGTCACTACCGCACCTGCTCAGCACGGTATATACGTCCCTTCCAGGCAGAGTAAGTAAGCCCGGGGGGTCAAGTCCAGGAAACCCCAGCAGGACAGGACTTGTAGGAAGCATTGTAATAATGGTGTTTCTCCAACTGGTTTTTATCAAGATGCTTCAGGAGTTCAGCAAACAATTTGGTTTGAATTTTATTCTTAATAAGATATCTTCAGCCAAGGCTCCAAGTTCTGAAGTTCATCAGAAGCAACTTTTATACTGACATGTTACTTTAAAAAGGGCTCCTGGGTGGCTCAGTCAATTAAGGATCTGCCTTCCGCTCAGGTCATGATCTAGAGTCCTGGGATTGAGCCCCGCATCAGGCTCCCTGCTCAATAGGGAGCCTGCTTCTCCCCCTCAGCTGTTCCCCCTGCTTGTGCTCTCTTGCATTCTCTTTCACTCTCAAATAAATAAATAAATAAAATCTTAAAAAAATTTTTAACTTTAAAATATACATATGAAATGTATAATCAATGTGAGCTTATAAAATAGATACACATTCATAATATATTTTTATCTGTTTTATATATATATATATATTGGGGTTCTCAATGAGATTCCATTTGATAAAAGGACTGCAACAGAAATAAATTCTTAAAAAAAATAAAAAGGACTGCAACAGAAAATGTTTGGAAATCCCTGGTATAGAGGAAAACATTTATGAACGACACATGTAAGATTCTGTCTATCCTCTCTGGCTGCATTAGGCAAAATGCCAGGGGAGAATATGAGAGAAGATGAGGGGCAGGCATATTGTGAATTAAATCCAGAGTAACACAAGGAGCTCATGCTCTTCTAGTTTTAATGACATCATTACACACTCCGACGCCAGATTTCTAGTGCACTTCGTATCTTGTTCTTCAGCGGATCTAGCGTCTTGCAGGTTAGGGACAGAGTGGCCTCTAGAGCCCTACCTTACACCGCTGGCCTTTGTGATCCGGGTCAGTGCAAGGAAAGGCCTCAAGGGGACCAGGTATGCAGCCCCAGGCCCTCCTTTTCCCTAATGCCCTCTTCCCAGCCCTATCACTTCTCTAGGTGACACCCAAAGGGCTCTTCCTCCTTGGGCTGCCCTCCCCGCCAGGCCCCTAGAGTTTGTCATCATGCTCTGCACCACTGCCAACAATGATTCTTAACTCTCAATTCCATTTTCTCAGGAATTAAAGATTAAAGCTATTTCTCCTACAACTAACTAATCAATGTCACTTTCAAGAACAGATTGGTATTTTACAGGAGTCTTCTGGAGACAATCCTCTTCTGCTTACTTGTCTAAAGACGTGAGGACTTGAATAGAAAGTGGCAGTTTGGGGAAGAGTAGCCTTATGTCACACTTCGTACCCAAGGTCAGGTGGCTGCAAACACACCCTCCATGGAATTCTAGGCTCCATTCTGTCCCCTGGTTTGCCCTCGGCTTGCCACCACCTCTGGCCAAGTTACCTTCTCAAAGAGTTTAGTGAAGAATTCATCCTGCCCTTCATTTTGGTCCACTATTTCCTAGAGGAATAGACACACGGAAAGACCTCGTCATTCATCTGGATGAATGGACGCTCATGCACACACTCGTGTCTCATGACCTCCCAGGCTCCAGAAATCCTAAGTTGGACCTTGAGCACCGTCTTAAGTTTCCTACTACAGCATTTATACCTCCTTTGGTTCTCCAATTCTCGCTGCCTTTGGGGAAGTAGCAAACAGCAAAATGGATAAAAGAAATACCAGGTAGAAAGAAGCAGAAGCAAGTCAATGTATAACTCGTGTACCTGGGGCTCTGGACCCTCCATGACAAGGACCCGACCAGAAGGACAGTTCTCCTGGTGCAAAAATAGCACAACCTAGGGACTCTTAGGGCACAGTAAGTAACACAGTACGAGTGCCATAGAGTAGGGACCTTAGGAACTGCAGACTTCTTCCCGACACATGAACTGTGAGGGGAGAAGCCCACCATTCTTTGGAAATGGTCCCAGCATGGGGAATCCCACCTGCCTACGCACCTTAGAGAAAACAGCACTGGCGTCGCAGCCAATTTCACTGTGGGGAAAACAAAGGGCAGAATTAATTCTTGGAGGGCATCTTGGGAGCCTTTTGGCCAATATTCTCCCTCCCCAGGGAATACCTCCTCCAAGTCTGTTAGCTAATCTGCCAAAGTGGGCTCACCTTGCTCTCACACCCCCCCCACTTCTTCTTGGAGTCAACAGTCCAGCCACGTGGCCCCACACACTGCTGGTCCCCCTCCACGTGCCTGGGGCTGCTGCTCATCTCCACGCCCGGCACGCCTTCCACTGTCCCCACCCATACCGAGCGACTCCTACTCATATATACAACTCGGCACTGCTAGGCAGTGAGGTTCAAGGTCAAGTCAGACTACGTATGAAATAAAAAAGATAGAGAACTGGATTCTAAGCCCTGAAGGGCTGTCATGTCGAAACAGTCATGAGCAGAAGACGCTGGGCTGGAAAGTGTGTCTACTGATTCACTCGCATACACTTACGGATCCAAGCTGATTCACTGACGACAGCCTTGCCTTGTGTGCACAACCCCCATGCATCTCCTAGAAATTAACACCTCCCTGATGCTGTCCCCGCTGCCCCCAGGACCATGGGAGATTGCCTCAGATCCCCCTCCTTGATGTTCTGCTAACACCCTGTGCAGATAAATGCTTGCATGGGACACAATGTACCATAAATCACTGCTCAAACATCCCTGTCCTTTCCAGGCCTTGAGCTTCTGGAGGTCAAGGGCCAAGTCTGTTCTAGCTTTTTCTCTCACATGTCTAGCAGACTGTTCATTTCTTAGGAGAGCGGGGAGGAAGAGGAGAAGGGAGCTCTCCATACAGGGAGCTCTCTGCTCTCCCTACCCTCTCCTGTGTTGGTCACACAGACTCCATCCTCTGCCATTTCTGCCTCCTCCTCCTCCATACCCCCCTGTCCAGAGGGGGCCCCAACCGCCAGGGGAGTCCTGGGTCCTTACTGAAAGATGTGCTTCCTGGAGAAGACTCTCAGGAGAAACTCCGACTCCTGGCTGGCCTCAGACGTGCAGGGCACAATGACGTACGTCCCTGGCACCAGCTGTAGTTCCTGACTCACTTCTCTCTCTGTGAGAAATGCTTTGGGCCAGCTGAGGGGGCCATTTTCCCAGAAGAACTCAGGAGGAAGTCTCCTCGGGTCACCATAGTACTGCGGGTAGAGGATGGAAGAGCCCCAGTTAAGATGATACTCAGGGCTTGTGGCCGGCCCTGGGGCTCTTGGCCAGGAGATAGGATGCAGGTGTTCTCTGATTAGCCAAACCCAACCTGCTCCAGTGGAGGGATAAGGGGGTGAGGAGAGAAAAGGAAAAACCACAACGTGTCAGGAATGGGCACCATTGCTCCTTTGTGGGGCTGAGGAAACACATGTCAGTTCATTTAACATTACATTTAATAAATTCTAAAATATATTGGTTCTGCACCAGGCTCAGAGACGACTCTATAGAGGCAAAAGGATTTCTCACGGTCCCTGAGTGAAAAGAATGTCAAGTGCTCGTCCCTTCGGCACTGTTGCCGGACGTCCTCACAGCACGTGCCGTGAGGTTCCCACAGTCAGGCTGAACCTGTCACGTGACATCACTCCAAACCGGGGCCAGCTGGTCAAGTGTGGCACTCACCTTGCTCAACTGAAAAACAGAGAAAAGAGAGGCCTCATTAGGCCGGGAAAGCAGCTCTTCCTCAAGCACAAACTAACGGAGGCTGATATGTAAGAAGGCTCCCCCAGGGGCCCCCCGTTTCTCCCATAAGACTTGCTCTTCTCATCAGTGACATTTTAATCCATCCTCAGGAATTCTGGGAAAGGGTGAGGGAAGGCAACCTTGACTTTTGGGGAGAGGAAAAGAACAGTGGTATTGACTTTATGGACTGTGTGCCGGGCACCACGAGGCACCCTGGCGCACAGTGTCCCTCTGGTCTACTCTTTACACAAATATCAGCATCCCCACTCTACAGATGAAGAAGTGGGTGCTCAAGGGCCCGCAGGTGATGTGTTCTAGATCACATATTCCCAAAGGACAGAGTCAAGGTCGGCACCCTGGTCTGTGTGTAGACATACAGATGGTGAAGAGGACAGGAAACAAGGAGGAAGGATGCCCAGCGGTGGGAGACGCCCCGTGAGGCTGCATGCCCAGGTGACCCACTCACCCTAAAGAGGTAGAAGCCGATGGCGAGGTGAGGCTTCCGGTTCCGGTGCCGGTGCCTTGGCTTCTGGAGCAGGGACACCAGCACACTGCAGGGCATCAGGAATCTCCTATCCTCCTGAGGGCTCCAGACGGACAGCAGAAACTGCGGGTTCTTCCAGAATGTGTCTGGACCAGGACACAGTGAGGTGAGGCAGGCCCTGGCTCCCTGATTATCACATTCCCACAGACCCAGAGCACCTGTCCTAAGATTCCCACCCTGAGGTCCATCTGGATAGAGTGGAGCTCTCAGCCTCCCCTCTACCCCCCACCTACCTCTCCCACCCTGTGTTCTACAGACACACAGACCAAGAGCTCTTCTCATCACCATAGCCCCTTTGCACAGCACGGTTCCTGGCACAGACTTTGTGCCCCATAGGCACTGACTGCCTGAGTAAGGGACTGTATTAACTAACTGAGAACAGGTCCATGATTTCGGGGAGATTTGCATTTTAACAGGGACAAAGCCTTAGCTGAAGGGCAACTTCAGCCTTTGGGAGGACCACTGTGGTGAGAGGGGGAAGCCAGAGCCAAGGGCACCTGGCCCCCTGAGATCACACCCTACAGGTCTTTCCTTCCACAGGGATGGCTCAGCACCTCCAGCATGGAGAAAGGGACACGGTGACCAAATCTCTCCAGTTTGAGATTTCAGACACCTTTGTCTCCTGTAACCGGTGAGCTGAGAATCCTTAATTTTGTTTCACCACCAATCCCCAGGCAAGGAGGGCCTGATGCATAGGATAAAATTACTATTTCAAGTCTGCCTTTAGGGGAGGTTATTTCAGCATAGAAATGGCTTTGTCCTAAAACCAAAGATTGAACCCCCCTCCTTCTACCGTGCATGTGTGCCTGTCCCTTCCTGGGACCGAGGACACAGCCCAGAGGCAGAGCACGTGGCTCGACCATCAGAATTCCTCACAATCAGCCGGATGCCCCCGAGATGCCCGCCTTCCCACTAGAGTGACCAAGCTGCCACTCCAGCCCCCAGAACCCCAGGTCCTGTGCACCTGCTTACCTCGGGGCGACTTCATCCGGCCACCGGCCGTGCTCCCCTTCTCCCACTTCCCCTCCCGCAGGGTGCAGGCCCACTTCTGGCCCACCTCCTGACTCAGCAGGCCTGGGGTCAGTTTACAGATGACCAGAAGCATGAAATGTGCTTTAAAGTCCTTCAGAGTCATCCTGTGGAGAGGACGGGGGCACAGCACAATGTCCGTTCTTCAGGACTAAAGCAGGGGCGGAACCAAGCAGTCCCACCGGCCCCACCCGGTGACCTCCCCCTTCTGTCCAGCTGAGCCCGCCTGGGACACAGGAGAGCAGCGCTGGCTCGATCAGTGTGAGGGTGCATCAGAGGACCTGGGCCATTGGGAAAACTCCCCCACCCCCAGCCCGTTGTTGGAAGCAGCCTTCTGCAAAGCGTGCCGGGGGAAACATTCTTTCTGTGCCGATTGCGATGATAAAGCTGAACTGGGGCGTTCCTGGCTGGTCGATTGAGATATAAATGCCCAATAATAATTGTACAAGTCAGTTCTCAACTGTTCATTGATAAAAGCCTTAGCCCCTACTCACTAACTTTGAGACCCAAGGCAAGCTATCTGCACTGGCTGATGCTCCGTTTACCTATCCGTAAAGTGGAAATTAATAGTACTTTCAGGGCTGTTGAGTTCAGCGACCACTTTCAAAGAGAGAGGAGTCACAGCAGTCTAGAAAGAGTGCAGAATGGGGGAAGAGGGGTCCATGGGAACAAGGGTGGAAGTTAATAGTAAGGGCCAGAAGAGAAGGGAAAGGGGAGCAGGTGGGGCTCCCATCAGACACCCAGAAACAGCATCCGCTCAAGGCGTCTTGGTGGCTTCTCATAAACGGGGTTGAGTGGCTTTGGGGTGGGTGGGAATCTGGCCATGGTGCTCCGAGGTGGCTTAGAGTTTATAATGCCTTCTTTCCTCATCTCTCTTTCAGGCCAGGAAAGACAAAACCTTGGGTTTGAGTGTTTTGAGAGATACAAGAGACAGGGTAGAAAGCAGGGAGAAGGAGGTGGCCGCCCCCTTGCTCAGTACTGAGTGCCCTCCGGGTGCCATGCCAGAAGTCACAGCTCTCATCATAGGGACTGTGACTGCTTGTGGGAGCTGCGGGTCCCTAACAGGTCTTTGTGATCTCTGCACATGAGGCTGCTGGACACATGTGTGGCACCCAGTAAATACTGGCAGGCTGGGTGTCCAAATGGAAGCCAGAGCATTTGCCCCAAGTCTCCAGGTCAGATACCAGAATTCGCCATCATCACTCTTCCTCAGCAGTAGAATCTTCTCCTTGGGGCTCAGTAGCTCCCACGTACTTGACCTGAAAAGAGAAAAGGGTGTTTCTGTGGGGATGAAGGATTGGGGGGATGTGGGGGAGATGCTCAGAAGTGTCATTATTTCTCTCCTCCTCATGCTGCTTTGCAAACAACTGAATCTCACATCCCGTCTTCTAAAAACAACATGTAACAGTAATTCATCCCTCACAGGGCACCAAGCTCTGGGCCAGGCCCCTCACAGACTTTATCTCACCTAAGGCTAACAACAAGTTTGCAAGGTAGGGATTTTTATTGCCATTTTCCATATTGGGAAACAGGGGCTAAAACAGATTAAATCACTTTCCCGAAATCACAAAATTACGAAATGTCCGAGCACATTTGAAACGACCTTGGTACTACGTATTTTCAAAGCCCATCGTTTTGAACTTTTGTGCCTGATCACAAGGGAGTAAGGCTTTCCTGTATTATTTCCCCACATAAACAACTAAATATGCGACAAAATATAGAAAACAACTGTCTTCAAACATTAGACATCAGGCAGCACCAGGTTATGACCCAGAGGAAGGGCACACAATGAGGTGAATCCCAACGTCACCCAGACTCCTGTCTGAAACGAAATCCCTGGAGGGTGACACAGAGACTCCCATTCTGGTCTGAGCAGAGCTCCTGGAGGTCACGACACAGAACCAGAAGGTCCAGGCCAATCCGGATCTGTCTGTCTCTGACCCAGTGGGCCCAAGAGCACACTGAATCGTGCCGGGGAAAGAACATGGATTCAACTCCAAAGACCTTAAGGGATTCATTCACTAATCATCAGTTTCTTCATCTGTAAAATGGGGATAAAACTCCCTACCTATATGAGCACTGTTCAGAGGATCAGAGATAATAAATACTCAAAGTGCTTGAAGGAAATAGGCCAGCTTGCACATAAGAGAGGTCTCTACATGCTCAAAGTCAAGGTAATTTTTACTTTTAAATAAATAAGGGCAGGAAAAAAACTCAAAGGGCTTAGCACAGTGCTGGCAAGCTCTCAGTAAACATTAGCTCGGTTATTATAATGAATGAGAAAACCGTCTATATGTCATTAAGCATCTTATAAATGTGAGTGATTGACCTTCACCGTCGGAATGCTCTCCCGATCCAGCTAGAGACCGAAGAACAATGTTGAATTGGCATGCAGAGGGCAGCCTCCTTCACAGGCTTGCCCTGCCCCTCCTCCACCCTGCCAGCCCGTCCCGGGTGTTCACCTGTCACTCCAGTCTCCTTTCCATTCCACTTTGCCCCAGGGGTTCCGCAGCCTGACTAGATATTCTGGTCCATGTTTGCAGGTCACCTGCGCAAAATGAGAAGCAATTTCGGTGGCTGGGCTGAGTGCCAAGCGCAAATGCTGCAGAGATCTGGGCGAGATCCGTGCCTGCCAGATGAGACCTTGAAGTGGAAGATGGAAGTCCCTGAGCGTGGGGAGAAGAGAAAGTGGTTCTGCCTCTTAGAGCTGCCAAGACCTAGCACAAGTTACTTACCCTCTCTGGGTCTATTTCCTCATGTGTAAAGTAAAGCTAATAGCCACGTCTGCTGTAATGGGTTGAATGGTGCTCCTCCTCCCCCACCAAAGATAGATCTACCCAATATCTGTCAGTGTGATCTTATTTAGTTATTTATTTTTAAATATTTATTTATTTATTTCAGTGAGAGAGAGAGAGAGAGATAGTGCACACAGGCAGGGGGGCAGAGGGAGAGAGACTCAAGCAGACTCCACACGGAGCACAGAGCCCGACACAGGGCTCGATCCCACAACCCTGAGATCACGACCTGAGCCGAAACCGAGTTGGACGTTTAACCGCCTGTGCCACCCAGTTGCCCTAGTGTGATCCTATTTATTAAAAGAGTCTTTGCAGACATAATAGAATTAAGGAACTGGAGATGAAATCACCCTGGAGGGGTGCCTGGGTGGTTCAGTCAGGTTAGCGTCTGCCTTCGGCTCAAGTCCTGGGATCAAGCCCCATGGTCCAGCTCCCTGCTCAGTGGGGAACCCCCCACTTCTCCCTCTCCCTCTGCTGCATCCCGTCCCCTGCTTGTGCTCTCTGGCTCACTCTCTCCTCTCAAATAAATAAATAAAATCTTAAAAAAAAAAAACAAGAAAAAGAAAAGAAAAGAAAAATCACCATGGATTAGGGAAGTCCTAAACCCAGTGACAAGAGAAGGGAAAGGAAGGGTGGGGGAGACACAGAGGAGAAGGCCATGTGGAGACTGAGGGAGAGACGGGAGCTCTCCAGCGGAAGCTAAGGAGTGCTAGGAGCCACCATAAGCCAGAAGAGGTGAGGAAGGACCCCCTACCACAACCCCCATACCACCCACCCCTCCTGCACAGGCTGCCATGACAGCTTGGTTTCAGACTTCTGGCCTCCGGAACCGTGAAAGAACAAATTTCCGTTGCTTGAAGCCCCCCAGTTTGCGGTGATTTGTTACTGCAGGCCCAGGACGCTAACACACCCCCTCACAGGGTTGTTGTGAGAATTGTTAACATTTGTGAAGCAGCCGGAACATGACTTAGTGCACAGGAAGTGCTACATTTTGGTAAAAACGTTAAATCAAAAAAATTAAAAAATGAATATATTAAATAAATATAAAACAAAATATGGACATAAACATATAACTAAATATTAACAAAGTCTAAGTTTTGTTAAAGAAGTATGAGAATACATGAAAAACTCTTGGCGTGCGTGCACACACACACACACACACACACACACACATGACTGATGCAGGTCTGGGAGGCGGAGGAAGACAGGTGGGAGCTGAGTTGAAGAGATCTGGATGCATAAAAGGGAACTGGAGGACCTGGGGACGTCAGGCTGTTCTAGACATCAGGGGCCCTCGATGATGGAACTGCATGTTTCTCACCTGCATGCCCCATCCACCCAGAGTACCCCTCTCCCTCAGACAAATCTACTGACCTTTCTGGGGCCAGCTCAATGCCACCTCCTCTATGAAGCCTTTCTTGACGTTTCCCAACTCAACCAGGCAAATGTCTCCTCAACGACCTCTGAGCCCCTAAAGCCTTTTATCTATTCTTCCCTCCACTTTCTACTTTGCTTCCTTCCCATTTTTACATACAGTTTGTCTCCATCCCTGTGTGTGAGCTCTGTGTAGAAAGGGTCCCTGTCTGATGCCTCTTTCCCTCCATGCTTAGCACAGCTCAAAAGATGAATAACCATGGGAAGGACCCAGGAGGCTGATGGAAAGGAGTGTGTGAGAAAGAAGCGGGAATTTGGGTGGGAAGCCCCAGACGGGAAGGTCATCAGTGGTAGCCCAGAGCAAAGAGGGCCTCGAGGAAGGGTGGTGAGGCCCAGCAGGGCTGGGTGGCTGACTGGCAGGGCTTCCTCAGGGCAGAGGGGCTGGGATGGTGCCCTGCAGGTGGCCCAGGCTGGACCCACCACGTCACTCCAGAACATGGGTGCACAGGTGCAGGGAGCCCAGCCCCTGCTTTAGCAGGTAAAGAATTAGCCCCTGAGACTGGACACAGCTAATAATGCTCACCAAAGCCTTGGTGAGAAGCCCCAAGAGAGAAGGGGGAGCCCGAAGGGAAACAGAGGGGCTGGTTCCACCCACCTTCCTGATTCCTGTGAGGGTATAGGCATGGCCTCCCACCAGCCCATTCTCCAGCACCCTCTCCATCTGTGAAGACAAGAGAGCTCCTGTCAGCCTGTGGCTGTGTACAGGTTATCTGGGGGGCATGGGGACCTGTGTGGCTGGAGCAAGGGCTTACAGGGAGGGCTGAGGGAGACCCACACAGTGGCCTCACAGTTGTCAAAGCTCTTCAGTACCCACTTGTTGGAGCCTCTAAGTCAGGATGCCATTCTGCATGATTCCCATCCCTTTGGACAGAGGACAAGCTCAGATTTGGAGCTGCTAAACCATCATGGGGTGGGCGGGTGGTCACTCATGGGGGCGGGGCCAAACCCAGGGCTCCCTATGCTGGTTCCACGTTCTTGGTTTTTGCTAAATTAGTCAGTAAAGACCAGCTGTGCTAATACAGCCCCTTGCACCTGGTTGACACTTAGTCACCGTTAGCTTGCTTGTCTACATCATCTGCATTTCACTTTGGCCCCTGAGGGCTCTGCTTGGCTGCTCAGGTTTGAACACCAGGACTCTAGGAGCGAGAGCTGGTTGGGGGTCTTGGGGACAACGCTAGGTGAGAACAGAAGCTGGTGGATGAAGGGGATGGCAGCAGGAGAGGACACTGTGCTGGTACACAGCCCAGTCTCACCCCCGAGTGGGTCTGGCAGCCAATGAGGGTTCTGTTGTAGGTGGCTCGGGTTAGGATGTCCCAGAGGTTGCCAGGGGCTTCTGCTGGATTGAAGGTCATTGTCACCCCTCCAGTGAAGTCCACGAGTGCTTCAGACACCTGCCCACGCTGCAAGTCTTCATAGGAGCCAGAGAGCCTGCCCAGGGAAGGAGTACAAATGGGAGTAGAAGGGAAAGGGCATTCATACTGTAGCCTGGGATGGTCCAAATGAGTCTAGTGAAGCCCCTGCTTGGTTCTTTTCTGGGCATATGCCTGCTACTCCTTCCTTCCATCCGAGGCAAAGGAGAAAATATATACTGAATTCCTATCCTTGTTAAACAACTCCATCCATTAGGGAAAGCTGAAGGGAAAGGAAGGGAAGGGAAGGGAAGGGAAGGGAAGGGGGAATTGGGAAGGAAAAGGAAAAGGGAAAGGGAAAGGGAAGGGAAAAGATTTCTGGTGGTTGTCTTACTTGGCATAAGCCTTTTCCAGAAGAGCTCCCCAGAACAAGTTTTTGTAGGTAGAAGAGACAAACACCAGCTGGCCAGCTGCATTCACAGGGAGTCGGTCATCTATCACCACAGGCACCCACTTCCCAAAGTGCCAGAACTGGAAGGAGAAAGTGCCCACCAGTGTGTGAAGACTGCTGTGGAAAATGGTCAGCCCAGGGGGCAAAGACACGACTCTCCCGAGACCCCTCTTTCCTAAGGCTTCCTCCAGGCTGGGGCACCAGCAAGTTACTCACCCAGAACTGGAAGATGCCAGCATACTTCTCAGTGAAATTCTGATTCAGGGGAACAACACGGCTCAAGATGTCCTGGTGCAAAGTCAGAGCTTGCAAAGCAGCCAAGAACCAGCAGTCTCCTAAGCCAGAGCGCACACGGCATCTGCACGGTGTACTTCCTACATTCTACAGGTGTTTGCATCTATCTACTCAAGACATTACATGCAAGAAATGCCTAGTCCCAGCTGCTTTTCTCCCTGGGCTTGTAGCCCAGTTTAGCAGAAGGGAAAGACATACCGAGGAGGAAAACAGTTGAGTGAGCAGAAGGTGGGGAAGAGCACTGGCAGGAATCTCAACTTGACACCAAGAACTGAACCACATTCCTGGACCAGCTTCCTGAAGGCCACATCCTCAGGAACTTGGACCCAAACACAACCAAACTTTTCTAAAGTCCTGCTTCTGTAACTGATTTATGCTCTTCTGGAAAGATCTCAACCCTTCCACACTCCATTATCCCCATCTGTGAAACAGGTATCGCTACATTTGTGCCTTCCTTTGTGGACACGGGTTTTTCCTAGTCCCCCCAAAAAGAAAGTCAGGATGAGGATAGGCTTGCTTGGACTCTAGATGGGGCATCTAGTGACTGGTGTGCCAAAAAGGACTCATTATGGGGACTAGAACAGAGGGAAGCACATTCTCCCAAGACAAAACCCAGACCTGTAAACTAGTAATGAGGATTGTCCTAGGGGAAAGTTTTGGCATTCCCATGTACCCTCACAGGACCAGTTATTATCATTTTCCTGGTGAAGGACACGGACTTCAAGGTGGAGGTCAGGGTGGCCATTTCCCCCATTGGGACCTCTCAGATCCACTCTTTCCCACTCCACTCTGCCTTGGCTGGGTCAGGCTCATGGCTGCCAGGTCTGCGTGTCCAGGGGTTGTACACACTTACCTACCACTCCCTGGCACAGGTCCAGCCTTTTGGTATTGGCAGAATAGAACTGGGGATTGCTGTGTAACTCCTGCAGGGGACAGACAGAATTATCCTTTTGACCAAGAAGCTCCTTGAGCTACAGTGACCATAGTTTCCCATACCCCAAGATTGGACTTATGGGGACACAGATATGGAATATATATGAAATCGGGGCTGTCCCAGGCAAGCTGGCATATGGATTCAGCCCATCACATTTCTCATTCCTTCTTGCAGCCCATGGAAGCCAGAGTCCAGGAGAACTCTGTGTGGATCCTGAGAAATAACACTGGTACCCAAAATGCCTTTGCCTGGAGTTTCTGTTAAAATGGAAGTATGTCTTTTAGAGGGTGTTCATATTTTTTCTTAGAGATCTGCCCATTGTCCTTATTCTCCTCCTCCTCCTCCTCCTTCCTACCCTACCGCCCAACAGAATGGCCTTTTTGCCTTTCTGTGCTGAGATGCAGGTGGGGTGGCAGTGGGAGTGGGGCAGGTGGTCTCTGCTCCACAGTGAGGACTAAAGCCCTCATGTTCAGCATTGGCACAGCTCACCCAAGGTCAGGTGTGACAGACGCTAAATCAGCAGTTCCTGAATTTTCAGGGAAAAGTAGAATCTTGGCTGCTATCTAGTTTGGGAGGCCCACTTGGGAATTTTGCACACAGAAGGGATTTAATCTGGGGCCATACGCTTTGATGGGAAGGCTGAACAGTGCCCAGAAGGGTGGTGAATCTGTGGCAAGCCTGACTCCACTTTGTTCCCCAGCCATGTTGAGGAAAATTATTGTATAATTCAAGTTTGGTGGGGGCTGGATTGCCTTTGAACACAATAAGTTGCCTTTTAAAAGAATTGTCAAAGCACTTTAGAAAGTGAAGAACATTGTTGTAAAGTGATTAATAGCTTCTTAATTTATGTCTTCCATGGGCCTGATTTAAGGGTTAAGAGTGAAAGTATGTGAGAATGTGTCTCCTTGGTCGATGACATTGGTGGTGGCTCAGGATGCCCCACCATCTTGGAGGAGACCCAACAGTACTTTGGCTGTGGCTGCCCAGCGTATTTCTGGGTAAGGGCTGAGGGAGATCACATCTCAGATCCCTTTCAGCACCACCCCTGGTTTTCTCCATCTGGAGAATGGGAATGTGGGCGCTCACCCACTGCCTTCACCTGGGGATCAATGGCAGTGAGTAAGACATGGCATCCGGAACACTCCCCACGGAAGGTCTGGGCTGACGTGTGTGTGTGTGTGTGTGTGTGTGTGTGTGTGTGTTTGTGTGTGTTTGTGTGTACATGTGTGTGTACTGTGGGGAAGCACCCTCCTCCCTTACCGGAGGCCTCTTCCATTGTAGGCCAGGCGGCAGCTTCCGCAGCAGGGGCCCGCTGCCCACCGAGCGCAGACTGGCTGGAAAGCTGTCATCTTCAAAGAGGTGGCCTTCCATCAGGCACCTTTCCCTCAGGGCCTCATAGTCTTGCTTGGAGAGCTGTGAGGAGCCCCGCAATGAGTTCTTCCGCCCCAACTTCCATCTGCCTCGGAAAGGTAGCCACAGAGACATGGTCGAGCCGGTCTTCTGGATGGTCTCTGTTGCTCCTGGAATGGAGAGCCCATGTTCAGTTTACTCCCTGCCTGTTGATGCTGTGCCATTCCCCCAGCGAGGAGGAGGATGGAGAGGTGAGACAGACTGCAGCATCTTGTCTGATTCTCATCCCAGACAGTGGGGTTCTTAAGCACTTGTTCCAGTGCTGGGGTTCTGATGGGGGTTCTGGGCTCCCACAGCCAAGGCCTGAGGGAAAGGAGGGGTCTCTTCAGCCTCAGGGCTGGGTCCTGGGCCCCTGACCATGCCAATGACACAAGGACACTTCTGCTTAGCGGGGCAAGGGAAGGAGGAGAGTAGCAGGAAGCTAAAGTTCGTTCATTGGACTTGAGGGTCCCTGTGCCAGACAAGGAAGGAGCAGTGGCTACCCCTTCTGTCCTCCCTGACAGAGCCTTCCTGCTGTCACCCCCAAGCTCACACACGTCCTTCCACTTGCTCTAATGTCCTCCTCTGTCTTCCCTGCAAAACCATGTCTCTAGCTTTCCTCCTTCTACATATTCTTCAAATCAACTCCTTCTTTAAAGATATTTTTGGCAATGTAAAAAAAATGACATATGTATTATGGTGAATACTGAAAGGTCTGTACCTACCTGTTCTCTTCTTCACCTTATTAATAGGATCCCAGTTTTGATCACTCAATAAAACCTGATTTCCCAGAGCTTCCTGCTGGACGGGTTGGCCATTGAGATGAAGGTGGCAGTCTACCAGGTGAGGCTTTTGGAAAAGTTACGACTTTCCCAATTTTTCCAGTTGGCCCTACTTTCAAATTCCCCCCCTTCCCAATCCTGGGAAAGCAGATGTAGCAGCTAGAGAGGGACCACTAGGTAAAAAACCACATGCTAGAAGGAGTCTGGATCTTGATGACTGCCTTGAACAAATGGTCCAGACTTGGTGGCTTGCCTCCAGGCTTATTACATGAAAAGGACAAACTATTTGCTTACTTAAGCCATGAGAATGGCCAGACTTGGCAGTGCTCTCTATGTTAGCCAGTGTTACGCATCTGTTACATACAACCATAGCACTCTCAAGTGATACTCAATGGCCTAGAAAATTTTACATACACTTTTGGGAGATCAATGGATCCTTCTTCTGAAGCTCATCAACAACCTTCACACTGAGAGCTCTGCCAGCTGATTGGACCCCACCAACCTCAATATTCTAGCATATCTTTATATCGCCTATGTCTATTTTTGTGCAGTAGTTGATTCATTAAGCCAGTGATTTCATGGCCTCTATGATTTGTATTCCTATCTACTTAGAATCTGAAAATGTCAGAGCTAGAATATGGCTTAGTAATCATCAAATCCAGTATTTCCCCAAAATTATTTTAGCAGTGGAGTTCCTTCTTCAAATGAAATCCTACAGAAACTCAAGGGTAAAGGCTTGAGTTTACAGATTGGACCTCAGTGCAGCTTTGCAAGATTTCTCATTTTATGGTTTGAAAACCACCAATCTTATCTTGCTCCTCTCATTTTTCAAGTGTTAAAACCAAAACCCATTCATCCATTGGCTCACCAAAAATTTTATTGGGAATTTGTCATCTGTCAGGCTTGAGCTAAGCATCATTCATGAGAGACAGTCCCTGCCCTCCTGGGTTTTCCAGCCTAGTGGGGATCAAGTAAACTTCTCAGGGCTACCCAGGGAAAAGTCATCAGAACCCTATCCAGAACTCAGGGCCCTGACTCCCACAACAATGCTCAGCCCTCCATGTCAACAGCTCCCATTTGTGCCAGTACAGTGCTTGGGACAGAATGTATATGCACTAAAAGCAGCCTTCAAACAAGCCTACTCCAAGTATGAGTACTCCCTCCCAGCTGTATGAGTGATCTTCATTCATCAAGATACTGCCTATCCTCAAAACTCCAACTGTATTCCCTCCACCAGGAAACCTTCCTTGTGTGTCTAGTCTTCACTGAGTTCCCCTCATCTTGACTGTCTACTGTTCTACCATCTACCCCCGAGGACACCCTATCACCTTCTAGTTGGTTCTTCTCAAATTATCACTAGTGAAGTACCTGTATTCTTTTCAGCTTGCCACAGAAATTAATGAAAATAAATATTAAATTTATTTTATAAATTAATTTTATAAATTTATATATACATATTTTTTTAAAAATTTATATTTATATAGTATATATTTTATATTTATATATATTTATAAGTTTATTTTATAAATTACTAGATTTATTTTAAAATAAATTAATAAATTATTTTAAAATGAAATTCAAAAAGGATACGTAAAATACAAGCCCTCCTTTAAAATTTTTTTTCAGATTCAACAGAAATAAAATTATTTGATCAATTACTATAAAATAAGGTTCTAAACACTTACCTTTAGTTTTGTATTCAGCTTAACATGCACCGCTAGCAATCAGTTCCTGAAATGGTCTTGTTCTTGGATCCCATTGTGGGCTCTGCTCCGAGTGATTCACACACGGAAACCTCCTCTGCCTAACACCCTTTTCTTCCCCCACAGGATTAACACCAGTGGAATGCTGTTTGTCTCACACCCTTACCTCTCTCTGAGGTTAGGGCAGTCTGATTCCCGGCTGTTCTTATTTGTCACAAGTGTATTCACACTTCCTGGGGGACGACCCTGTACTCTCCTACCTTGGGTTACAGGGATCCAAACGTTATTACTGGGCCCTTGGATTTTCCCCTGAGATTCTTCCTGATATAGACCATCAGATTATGCTTCCTCTGCCCTAACTCCTTCTTCCAACCACATTTACATCTGTCAACAAACACAAGGCCACACAGAGGCTATCTTACTTTTTTTTTCAAGCCTGAACAGCAATCCTTCAAAGTTTGAGGTGTGACCAATAATAGTGGGTCCCTTGGCTTCAGAACCAGACCCAGGCTCAGGCCCTCCCTCCCGAGGGCTGGATCACACTCAGATTCCTCTCCATGCCTGAAAACATTGCTTCTTATGACAAGTCATGGTGCCTTGTCGGGCTCAGAGGCCTAAATGCCCATCACAAGACGCTTTCACCCTCCAAATTGCAGAATGAGGCCAAACACATACACATCTTATCTTTAAATAAATACTCCTAAGGCACCTTAAGGAGAGTCTAGACCCAGATGTGGGTAGCTGGCAGGTCTTAAATGTCTACTATATGTTACAACCTGTGGCCAAAATGGGCTCTTTCTCAGATTGCCATAGTGCTCTGCAAAGGGCCAGGTATATCTTGGTTGTATTTGGAAACTCATTTTAACTACTGTAAGTAAACAGTGTTGGAGCAGGCCCATAACAGAAGACTATGCAAATGAATAGGGAAAAGCTGATTGAGGCACATGATATTCGAGTGTGCAGCCTAAAGGCACAGAGCCTGTGCCTGAGCATCCTTTCCTTGCCACCCGAGAAGGTGTTGGACTTCTCTATCATGTTCTTCATGTCAGGATTCATTTGTACTCCGCAAAGAAGTAGTCAGAGCCTCCATTTCACTTTTCTACATTGGCTCCACTCGCCTTCTCTATAGACTTTAGGGCAAGATGGGGAGCTCTATAATGGTGAGGGGTGTCGCTGGTGCTCTTAATCCAGATGAAGCCTTTTGGTGCTAACTGGCTGGTGAACACTGAGGGACATTACCAGGTGAGACACCTGAATACTCCATGCCTTGAGTCCCTGCCCTGATATGCGTTTAATTCACATGTGCATTGAACACCTACTATGCTCCAGACACTGTACTCATGCTAAACACACACACATAAGTATAGAGTTGGGTCTCTGGAAAGGCAACAAAAGAAATAAGAACTACATTCTCATTCACAGGTGCTATGGACCTGTAGCATCCTCCTAAGGGATGATTGATTTCCAGAGAACTCTGGCATCCTGCCACAACCCACCAAGCTGTCAGAAGTAAAATTGGAAAAGAAACCTAGGCTGCTTGCACAGTGGTCTGTCTGAATGATAAAAAGCATTGGATTGGAAACATAATCAATTCCAGGCTCTGGACAGCTGGAACAAAAGAACAAGACTAACTGTTGGCCCTGCCTGATTTATCTTGGGCAGGGATTATACTTCTTTTGTGACATAGGAGCACTAGATTTGGAATTAGAAAACCCAGGAAGTGGCTGGGTTTGTCGCCTCCTACCTCTGTGACTATGGGCAAGATCCTTACCCTCTCTGAGCTGGTCCCCTTACCTGTAAAATGGAGATGACACATACCATGTAAACTCTCAGGACTTAAAGAGCTAATGATAAAGTTTGAAAAAACTTTAGTCTAAAGAAGGAGTTGGCAAACCATGGCCCATGGGCCAAATCTGGCCCATTGCTGGTTTTTGTAAATAAATTCATTGAAACACAGGTATGCTACCTGTTTATGTACTGTCTATGGCTATTTCTGCAACATACGTTACAACAGCAGAATTGGGTAGTTGCAAAATACATCATACAGCCAACAGGCCTGAAATATTTATTGGCTGGCCCTTTACAGACAAATTGGCTTAAATCACAGTCTAACCCCCATAAATGTTATGGCACGATGCTAGACCCAGTGGTAGGCTCCAAACAGGAATTCAGAGAATAAAATGTGATTAAGTGGGTCCATCGTTAAGAATTTATGTTAATGCAACAGAATTTTATCTCTAATTGATTCATTAATTTTTTATAGACTCAACATTTACGGTTACATTTATATCTCAAAAAGACTTGAAGATGTGGCCTGCCATTCCTCTCTGCTAAAGTCTTGTCTCTAATTCATTTTTCAGATGTGATGACATCAGACATTCCTGGGAAGTTTCAGGTGGTTTTGCGGTTACTGATTATGAATAGGAAAACCCACATCTCTATGTACAGTTCATGACCTGTTTATAAAAGAGGAAGTTATTTGGCAAAGTAGGGGAGCAAAATTTTCCTCCCTGAAGTGTGTCTTTGTGGCATGTGGATTATTTTAGGCTGTTTATTTTTTTTTAACATTTTATTTATTTATTTGACAGAGAGATCACAAGTAGGCAGAGAGGCAGGAGGGGTGGGGGGAGAGTGGGGGAGGTGGGA